GTTGTGAATTTGGCGCTATATAAATAAACTGAATTGAATTGAATTAATAATTGGACAGCCAGAAGTTCCTTAAAGAAGATTTTTTTTTTACAAAAATAAACCAGGTGAAACTAAAACTTTTCCACTTAAGGAGTTCTGGATAGAGCACATTAACAGATGAAAAACTTTTTATCTTAAATGCATATATTTTTATAATACATATATTTTTTACAATTTTGATATAATTACTGCTCTAAGTGGGTGGCTCTGTCAGCTAAAGGCATATTTTAGAGTCTATGCTCCAGTTAACAATTAATTGATTCCTAAATTAGTTGTTGATTATTTCAATAATCGATTAATCCGACTAATTGCTTCAGCCCTAGTACCTAGATTCCTAAAAAATGCTTTTAAGAAGCAGCATGTAGCGCAGGATGCTCCAGCACGTCAGTCTGGGAGCTAAAGATCTTGAATTGAAACTTAATACATTTCAAAGAAGACAGTCAAAATAGCTGCAGTGGCTCCATATCAAACACTAAACACTGAAAACAAACCCCAGCAACATTTTGTTCTATGATATATGGAACAGTCAATCTCATAAATGCCTTGAATATTACAAAAACGGTAAAATAAGTCGATCTATCATGCTTCTTCACTTTAACAAGCATTAATCATATTATTGGACTGGGCAGCAGGGCTGATAAAAACGTCTGTTTTGATCACAGCTGGTATCATCAGAGTCACTTACAGTCCTTCAGGGAGAGCGGCGCGCAGTCCACAGATTGGCTCTTGGCGGGGCCTCGGCTCTGAGGGCCCGGCGCAGAGTTGGAGCTTTGGATGCTGCTGCCGAAGCTGGTACCGAGCTGCAGGCGCCTCATGTGTCGGATCACAGCCGTCGCATTAAACGCTTGCTGGACAGAGAGATAAAAAAAAATAATAATACAAAACAATATGCTTCTTTTTCTGGTAAAAAGTGCTTTTATTGCAAGTTTCACGTACCCTCCATTTGCTTTTGGCAAAGTTTTTGCGCATCTGCCTGCTGACGGATTCATGTATGTTCTTACGCAGAGCGGTGTCTCCGGCAATCCTGAAGAACAAAGGCAGTCAGAGTTCACTAGCACCATAACATTGTGCACAGATGATTGATCGAAAATTTGTGCGCAGAATCATCCCCGTGTTGTTTCCATATTCCCTCCATGCATTTATTTTCATTCAGCTACAGCACTATTTGTGTGATGGGCTGCTGTTTCTACAGGATTCCTTCTCACATTCATCATCTCTTTATGAAACCCCTTGAATGAAAACCATTTCTCTTAATTATGGCCTCCGTTCTCGCTGTCACGCACCACATTAGGAGGTCCACCTGCCCACGACCCAAAACGCCCGTCGCTTCCTAACAGGTTTACTGCCCCCTCAATGGGGGCTCACACTGCCTCAGCCTCATTAGGACTGATGCAGACATGGAAAGACATCTCTGTTGTTCGTTAAGGCATCAAGATTCACAAGGATCCTTGAGGAGTTAAGCCACTAATTGGCGGGCTTCAATTCAGAAAATTTTCTCCCAGAGAGCTAGAGATGACCGGCTGAGGTAGGCGCGTTGCTGGGAGCCATGATGACAGATGACTGTGGGAGGACAAGCTCTCCCAACACATGCGTAAGCCTGGCAATCTGCGTCACAACGCCATGAATCGGGGTGTGTGTGTCTGTGTGTGTGTGAGTGGTTCGCAGTGATTGTATTACTGCGGCGCAGCGTGGCGGCAGAGTTCCTCACCAGGGGTGCTCAAGAGCCTGGTCGCATGTGAATCTCTTTTCAGGGTCCTTCTCCATCAAGCAGCTGATGAAGTCTTTGGCTGCAGAGAGGAGAAGAAAAAGGTCAAGTGCACATCAAGCTGAGGATGGGTCTCCACCTTCCAGCAGTCAAGGGTTTATATCAACATTGGGATGCTGGAAAAAAAAACTTAAACTGATAGAAAATGGCCCATTCTGTCACTGGAACCCATAAACTTTAAAATAAACAGAAATAAATGCTTTAAATACTCCGCTCCATGTATTTGCATTTTAGTTTTTGAATCCAATAACTGAAATGATCTAATTCACTGTCTGTAACAGGCTGCAGCGTTCACAGCTCAGAATTTTGCAACATCTAAAAAAAAAAATCTATGGCAGACGGATTTAGTCAGACGTCAGATTATGATTGCAAAATACAAGGTCGATACAGACAGGATGGGGATATTGGAGAGAAACAAATATCTGCAGTTCAGACCTTTGGAAACGTAAAGATCTGAGATTATTTTTCTTTGTTTTAAGACATAAAAAATATGTTGATATTGTTTGTTAGGTTTGTAGGTGTTTTTCTTTCAGATTAGAATACAATTAGAATTCTAATTATATTGTATATCTATATTATACAGAATATAATCAGAATAAAAGTACACAAAAAAAATGTTTTTAAATTGTGCATATTGCAGATTGTGTTTACAGTTTCCTCTAATCTCTGATCCATATCCATTTATGATAATTCCAGGCAGAGATCAGCTGCACTGTGAATCACAACAGGAAACAGTCATGACTCCTTCTTCTCTTCTTCCTCTTGCACTTCAGCCGGGCTGAACAAATATGCAGGAACTACAGCTGCGATTATATTCTGCATTCCATAAATTATTTAGATGATTGACAAACCATTGCATGCATTCATAAAGTGCTGCTGATTAAAACAATTCTCTGGTTAACATTTGCTTAAATTACTTATATTTTTCCTGGTAATGTGTGCCGATAATTGGTGCTTGTCTGATTCTTTTGAATCCCGTTCGGATCTAACTGATCATTAGACGTGCTTTTATTGTCTGAATCACCAGCCAGATTTATAGGTTGTTGTTTTTTTTTTTAATCAACAATTGACGTATTTGCAAGATTTGGTGACTGAAGACGATGACTAAAATGTCAGGATCATAATTAAAAGAATAAACGTCATTGATAAAAACAGGGAGCTTTGTTAGTACATGAAGGGGAACCCTTAACCTTTACAAAAAAAGTCAAGATTTTGTGTCATTTGGAGGAAAAGTGGTGCTACTATAAAGTGGGCTATGAGCTGAAGAATAATTATTCATCTGTTTTATAAGTCAGGTATTTTTTTTTCACTTTGACATTTTGCATTTTTGCAGCTCTGCTTGTTTTTCAGCTAGCTTTTTGCTAAACATTTGCTCCCCACAAGGACTCACTTTGTTCCAGCCATATTGATGTTTTCCAACTATTTGTTGAGGGTAAACTAACCGAAAGGGCACCAGAACCAAACTAAATAGTTAAAATCATATAAAATACACCCCACATTTTAATATTTATGGTACAATGAACATACATGGAGACAGATTGAAGACGAAAAGAGATGAAATACAAACACTAGGGCATAAAACAATGTTCTTTTTTCAAAGTCTTTGTTTTTAATAGATTTTTAACATGCATAGTTTTAATCATTGATCATTTTAGCTATTTGGTATAGAAAAATAAAAAAAGATCTAATAGGAGTTTGCAGAGTCTCTCTTTATTGATTCCTATCTTAGCTGTTATTACATGCGCAGCCATTTAGTGGATTATCAGACAGAGGAGAGCTATTAATATGCAATAACGTGCGGTCTAGGCAGTGGGGTCATGCTTAACAGTGAAAATGCAAATAGATGTACCGTATATTCTTTTTGTAAGGTCAGTAAACTGTTTCAGGTCCTAATTAGAAGTCTGAAGTAAGCTAAAATAATTTTAAATCTGAACAAATCAGGATCATCTGTGGTTGTCCTCAATGTTCCATTCTGGAGACACTTTTATTTAATTTGATTTTATGTATACACATGTTGATTTTATGTAGCCTGACGTAGTCCTACTCAATTCTAGTCAGAATA